AGAGAGTATCCAGAAGACTGGTAGCTGATTTCTCAAAAGAAACTATGCAGGACAGAAGGGCTTGGCAAAAAACATTCGACATGACGAAAACCCAGGATCTACAACCAAGAATACTTTATCCAGCAAAACTATCATTTAGAGACAAAAATAAGCCAAAGGAATTTATCATCACCAAGCCAGTATTACAGGAAATGTTGAAGGGACTTCTTTAAGAAGAAGGAGTATCAAAAACATGAATAAAAAATGGTAATAACTACATTCCTATCAATAAGTACTTCAAATGGAAAAGAATTAAATGCTCCAACCAAAAGATAGAGTGGCTGAATGGATAAGAAAACAAGACCCCTACATATGCTACATATGCCTACAAAAGACTCACTTCAGATTAAAAGACACACACAGACTAAAAGGAAGGGGATGGAGAAAGATATTGCCTTGATGGACCTAGAGGGTATTGTGTTGAATGAAATGGGAAGGATAGAGAAAGACAAATATCGCATGATGTCACTTACATGTGGAATCTAACGAACAAATAAACAACAAGAGCAGTAATAAACTCATAGATAGAGAATATTTTGAGGGCTACTAGATGGGAGGGGATTTGGGGTGGGAAAAAAGGCAAAGAGATTAAGAGTTACAAATGGATAGTTGCAGAATAGACATGGAGATGTAGAGTGTAGCGTGGGGAAGATGGTTAATAATGTAATAAATATGTAAGGGGAAGAGGGGTACTAGATTTAGTGGGGTGACATCTTTGCAAGTTATGTGGATCTCTGAGCACTATGCTATACAATTGAAACTGGTATATTATTGTATACCGACTATAATTGAAAAAAAGCTCATTGAGTTGTACAATGTAAATATGAGCAACTAATTGTCTATTTTATTTCAATAAATCTGGGAAAAAATTTTTAAAAAATCAACTCGCTTAAAAAATGCTTTAAATATTCAGGTTAGCTTTGTCCTAATGATAATATCTAGGATGGGGATTGATGTGCTGGTTATATTTCTCTACTGGATATTGAAATAAACACATAATTATCATGATAAAATATTTTTCATTAAGTAAATGAGGTTAAGTCAATTGCCCAAGTTCTCATAACTAGAAAGAGGCAAAGCCAACATTTGAGCCCAGGCAGTTTGGCTCCAGAATCCATGTCCTTGACTATCACCAGCCCTGATGTGTTTGGCCCTGTCACCCCTGGGCTATGACAATTGCTATTCCCCCCAATCCCCATCATCAGGCCAAATATGTCACACATATTTAAACTGAAATGACAGAGCACAGCTCTTTGCAGGTATGTGTGTATGTGAGGGGAGTAGGGGTATGGATTGAGCCTGGCTGAAATTTGTGTAATCTCCACAAATTTGTGTAATCTACCAGCTCTGGGCCAATCCTCCCCCTCACAGGACAGTGGCCAGGGGCCCACACTGCTGCAAGGCAAGGCCTTCCGGCTCACCCCTGCCCTCCTCAGAGAGCTTGGGGTCTGAGTCTGGTAGCAGAGGCAGCCCTTCTTCCCTGCCCCACTGCTGGGTCCCTGAGCTCCCAGCTCTAGGTCCTCAGAGGGGCAGCCAGCACCAAAGTCTCGGCCTTAGTCCTGAAACTTAGAAGGCCGAGAAAGAGTTAGGCCTGCAAAGCGTGAGGAGGAAGGAGGAAGGGTTCCACACAGAGGGAACAACATATGTTAAGGCCCAGTATCAGAGAATGTAGTGTGTTTGCAGAACTGCTTTTGGTTGAGCTGGCTGAAGCTCAGGGTGGGAAGGGGGGCCCTGTAGGGGTGGAGAATGGAGTCTAATGCCCCTGCTGAGTGTCACATGCCTGTGGGTGCTGCCAACCTATGGGTTCCTCTAGCTTCCTGGGCGAGTGTGTAGAGCGCTTCGCTGTATCTGTATGTAGAGTCAAGGTCTCCAGGATAACGAAGGGTTCTCACAGCTCACACAGCTCCCTCTCCCACCACTGCGCAACCTGGTGCTCAAACACACCCATCGGCCTGGCCCCATGCCCCCACCTGCTGCCCTCACCTGCCCTGACCACCGGGCACACTCCTTTGCTGCCCTTGACACCCTGCTCAGGTGTCGTTTCTCTCTGAAGCCAACTCAGGTGTTCTTCTCACAATGCCCCCTCATGGCTGTGTC